TATGTTCGTTCAAACACTCGCTACAGTTCGCACTGCAAAAGTGAGAACCGGCTGGCCGTATATGATTTTGGAAATTTTTTTAACGGTTTAAAAAGCCCACGCGTGCTTCGATCGTCCTGAATATTGAATGAGTGCAATTTGTGTTACAAAATTGTGAAATACTGCATTCTGTCCGAGGTCTGTATGATAAAAACAGTACCTCTGTTTCACCTCAGATGTGATGTATAAATGGTATAAAAGGTTGGTTTACACGTGCACGCACCCGGATTTGTTGGCAAGATTTTGTAAAGTAAACCTGTCGAACGCAAAAAAATTCGGCCTGATTTTTTTTCCAGGCTTAGTTAATCTTACGGTGATCAAGAGCCATTATGGCTCCTAAATGTGAACGAAGATGATTGCTATTTTTTGGGTGTACATATGAGGCTATCAACTTGATGTAAGATTTTGTTCACTCTTGGGCTGTTTGCAAATTTTTTTTTTCTAAAATCACTTAGCCTTTCCCTCAAAAGTCACATGAACGTGCTATGTGCTCTAAAGTTAACTGAATTGAGGAATACAAGTTTATTGTTTGATTTAAATTGTAAATATATTAATGGGAGCCTCGCTTTTAGCCCTGGCTAAATCTATATATTACGCTTGTGAACCTGAACATAGATGTTCACCTTCACCTCAAGGTGAAGGGGAAGCCAATCCAATCTCGTAAACAGTTCATCACTGTACGTGTTTGCTCGCGTGTCGGCGTCAAGGATAATGCTTGCACTTCGCTTCTGGAGACGAAAAACCCTCTGCAAATTCTTAGTGGAGCACGCGGACCATACATTGGAGGCATACAGCATTGTGTGCCTTATCATGGCGTTGTAAAACGCTTTCCTCTGTTCCAAAGGAAGAAATCACTTAATCTTTCTCAGCACGGCAATTCGTTGACAGAGCTTATTAAAGAGTTCGTCAATATGGTCACAAAAGAGAGTTTCTGATCAATTGTGACACCTAAAAGTTTTTGTGAGCTCACTTGTTTAAGTTCGGTGGTATTTAATTTAACTTACAACTGCTGGTTATTCATTCTTTTCTCGAGCCATTTACCGGTAGCGAGCATCGCTTTGGACTTCGTCTTATTGAAAATCATTTTGTTGTCAACACGAAATAATGCTGGCCTTACCCTGGGCAGGTAGTTTGAGTAATCAGTGTAATACAGCAAGATGTCATGTAATACTGTGTTTTGAAAACTAACAACAATAGCATTTCTTTTCTTTAATTTTACTACAAAATTCACCGATACGGTTTTTAGAAACATTGACTGATAATAATGTTTAGTTTGCCAACTACATACACATTTTTTCATAATTTTAGTCAGATGACAAAAAGGACAAGTCTGCTTTAATAATCCTAAACATGGAGGATTATTCCAGTGCTGAATTGAGAGCTAAATATTTAAAAGACTATTTTGGATTAGCAACTTTGGATCTGCATGGAAAAGGACTATTCAGGGTACCTGATGCAGTCACTGAACTGAGCGAAGTGGAGGAACTTAGGCTTAAAGACAATAATCTGACTGAGTTGCCAACGAGTATTCAAAAGCTGAACAGGCTTCAAAGGCTGGACGTGGATGGAAACAATCTTATTGAATTACCTGCTGAGATTGGAGACCTGAAGGAGCTGAGTTGGCTGTGTGTGAGGAACAACCAGTTGGTTGGTTTACCTACCAGTATTCAAAAGCTGAACGGGCTTCGTGAGCTGTACTTGGATGGAAACAATCTTACTGAATTACCTGCTGAGATTGGAGACCTGAAGGAGCTGAGTTGGCTGTGTGTGAGTAACAACCAGTTGGTTGGTTTACCTTCCAGTATTCAAGGGCTGAATAGGCTTCAAAGGCTGAACTTGGTTGGAAACAATCTTACTGAATTACCTGCTGAGATTGGTGACCTAAAGGAGCTGTGGTGGCTGAGTGTGAGTAACAACCAGTTGGTTAGTTTACCTACCAGTATTCAAAACCTGAACAGGCTTAAATGGCTGTTCTTGGATGGAAACAATCTTACTGAATTACCTGCTGAGATTGGTGACCTAAAGGAGCTGAGGGGGCTGAGTGTGAGGAACAACCAGTTGGTTGGATTACCTACCAGTATTCAAAAGCTGAACAGCGCGCTTCAGCTGAGAAAGCTGTACGTGAGTGATAATCCTTTAACTGTTGATGCTATACAGTTTGCTCTAAAGTTGGAGAAAAGAGGACTGTCCACTGATATTGCAGGTGAGGACAAAGAAAGGCTAAGTTAAATTGAACCCTTAATATTACATTCATAACAAATGAACTGCTAAAAATCTCCCTGAAAAAGATAAAGATGAAACAACAACAACATGATATTAATTTGAGGAGGACTCGGAAAAAAAATCCGAGTCCCAGATGGGATTTGAACCCACGACCCTCCGTGATCTAGTCGGATGCTCTAACCACTTGAGCTACTGGAGACTCTATGGTGAGCAAGGGCCAATTTGTGGGTCTCGACTGGAACCGCATCACGCGGCTACACAGCCAAGTAATGATAGGCACACAAGAAGTGAAGAACTCACTAACAGCATCGCGCTGTCACCTTAAAGAAAAAGATAAATCCAGATTATAACATCTAAATAGCGACAGGACACCCAAAGATTAATGTGCTGCTCGACTGACTAGGGCTTGCAGCAATTTTAGCGATCAGAGACACGCGCCGTTCAATCAGTTTGATGTAAATAATTTTTTTTAAAAAATGTATCTGGTTTTAGCACAAACAAGTATTTTCCATAGACTAAAAGGCCAGAGACTCATTTTTCTTTTTGAAAACTGTATTTGACCGCAGGAATTAATATTTTATTTTATCTATTTAATCTTGAAAAATATTTGATTCACGCGCATTATGACTGACTGCTGTGATCTAAGACCGAAAGCAAGGAATATCCGTAGGTTCACGTCCTAGTGAATTAGCCCCCTACAACTTCGCCCTCTACTTTCTGAGTTCACCACGCATTGGTATACTCGAAATTCGAGTTAAATCACGCACTTATACCAGACATTTATTTGAATCAAACCTGTGAATTATTGAAGGAAATCTTTGTAATGGAAACTTTACTGTATGGTAGGTCGGCGGCAATTGGTGTCTCGAAATCTAAGACCTAAATGACCTTGAAAAAAACTGCATGAAAACAGAATCTCCTTACAAGTTGCTTAATCAAAGAGTGAAGTAAAGTAAAGTCAAACTCACTGGCTTCCAAAAACAAGTTAAGAGGCACGGGACAAGGAAAAATTATTGAGTCGCAATTATGGCATGAATGAAACTTCAATGAAACATTTACAACAGCAAGTTATCAAGTTGAGAGTGATTTGTTGAAAGCTAACGAATATATAGCTTTGCAAAGTCGCTAAATTTTCCAGACGTAAAATACTTTGTCTCACTAATGGATAGTTTCATTTAATTGCCTTAAATGTTAAACTTCGATCTTGAATAAAGCAGGTTTCCAGGTCTGGTAGTTACTGTGAGTTTCAGCAAACGGCCCTCTGAGAGAGTTCACCTTTCACCGTAACCAAGAAACAATCAACTTACTTCCTGCTGACAAAACAAATTACGCCTGCAATCAATTGAAAGCTAATAACTTTTATATGTACACTATTCTATAATTTTATTTATTTCTACATTTTATTGCATATACGCACCTTTTTTGTAATTAATTTTTAAGTGCCTATGTGATTAAAGTATCTTTTATTTTTAATATTTCATAAGTTATTTATTTTTATAGCGCATTTGATTATATGTAATGTACATAGAAACATTGATGTACACTAAAATATTGACTTTCAGATAGGTTGCAGATACCCAAATTAGCTAGAAAGTGTGACATTTTACATTGGCGCCCTGTGATGCAGACCGACAGATGGTGCGACGGGTAGACGTATGGTCACGTGACTACCAAAATTTCTCCGCTATAATTCTCTGCATGTAGCAGCTCTCCTAACCCTAAAAGCCAGTTGGTTCGACACCGTAACTGTGAAATAATGGAAAGTAATGATAAACAACGACGTGTTATTGTTTTCTGCGACCAACGAGGAAACACTTTACGAGCAGCTATTTACTGTTTAGTTTTTATATTGAAAACCAGACAATTAAGCAGAAATAAGCAAGTACTAAAAATCTTGAGACAAAAGTATTTGTTCTCATTGAAAACTAAAGCATTCAAACGAAAAGATAACTGGCAGTTTATAAATATAGTTACGTTTAGTTGACAACCTCCAATTGAACTGCACAAAGTTAACTACTTTATGTTGCTTATACTAAATGCGATGAATTACATATAAATAAAACAAGAACAAGCGAAGAAAAAAATGTTAATGCCCATCCATAAATATCATATGTTTAATGCAAATGAAATCACGCAACTTGGTAAAACAAAACTTAAACTTCATTAATTTGGAAGAAAGGGAAATCTAACACCAGCAAGTGCAGAAAAAATTCCGATCTCCAGACAAGAATCGAACTCACGACCCTCCAAAGGTAACGATAACAGTTAAAGAGTAACTTTCAATTCACTTACCTTCTGTGGTATGATTTCTTTATTTATGTCCTTAGTTGTTAGCATTAATCTGAGTAGCAGCTGCTAGTAGTCGGTAAACACTGAATCATTACTGTGGGTAAAAAGACCATCAAGACTAAACTAGTATATTGCAGTGCGGACAATCAAACCGGACACTTGGAAGAAGATTGCTCAATCACAACGTTTTCTCAAAATAAAAGATTCTCAAGTGTTTTTGCAGACAGACCAATAAAATTCAAGTATTGAACTATCCAACCGTTAAAATTTTTAAAACCGTTTGAACTTACCTGACCTCTTAAGAAATAGCCCTCAAATTGATGGATGTTGTTGCATGGCCCGTATGCGAAAAAAAAATTGAGAATCTCGTTTTCAGAAAACGTTGTGATTGAACAATCTTCTTCCAAGTGTCCCGGTTTGAGTGTCCACTCTGTAAGTTTGAACAAAGCATGCAGAGTTGCAGTTATGTTTGCCCATAAAGAGATGATCTCCAGGTTACCGGTTGGTTCTAAAAAAAAAAGACTGACGTGATAAGTAAAACAACACATTTACGAGGCTCATGTCTGACACATGATTTTAATTTTTTTTTATTCTTTGTAGCTCCCAAGGAAATAGAAGCACGAGGAGAAAGAGCGCAGCTTGTTTATCAACGTGCTCTTAGAGATGGAGCTGTTAGTGTTCAGCGTTCTCGGATGTTGCTTATTGGTCAGGATAGGGCGGGAAAAACAAGCTTGAAAAAATCTCTTATTGGTCTGCCATTTAATCGTAACGAAAATAGTACTGAAGGAATTGAAGTGGGTCCGTCAATCTTTCAAGTGCATACCGACCAAGTTAAGAACTGGCAACCCATTGATAAGAGTGAACGAGGGTTGTTGGGTTGTTCTAACGAGGTGGCACAGATGGTGGTGAGAAAGCTTTTGTTTGAAGAGGAGGAAGAAGATGCAGAAATACACGACAGTGACTGCCTTAAAAATGAAAATTACAGGACTGGGACAAAGGCGGATGATGCTGATGGTGAAAAGAGAGATGATTCATTTGTGAATCAGGTTTGTTTCCAGTTAAATCTTAACTTTTGTATTGTACTTTAATCAAGTATTGCTTATAGCAGAAATTACGGTGGCCCACTTACCCTCACGAAACTTGGTTTAAAATAGCACCACTCGATTACGTTAAGCCGTGGTCGAGAGGGGTTCGAAACTGGATGGGTAACATTATATTGGCCAAAGTGGGAAGTTGGAAGGTAAACGCTGATAGTTGCAAATAAAACTTCGACGTTTCGGCAATCCTGCCTTCATCAGGGAAGGCTGATTTTCCCTGATGAAGGCAGCATTGCCGAAACGTCTAGAGATCCTTATCGCTCAAATCCCAACATCGATGTCAGAATAATCGCTCAGGGTTATTGTGTTATGCCTTCGTTAGTCTATCCATACTTTGAACTTGACATTGAACAAGATGAAATGCACAAAGCATTGTTTATTATAAAAGCAAGAATCTGAATAGATTGAATGATTTTGATCCCTTTTTCTTAATCGAAGTATTTTGTAGTAATTCTCGTAGGGGGCGTCTAAGTCAATTTATCAGCGTAGAGGGGAGCATTTGTTATATAAGAGGCGTTTATTTGGAAGTGGGTATCTATGAGGTCATTTAAGGTAGCCAAGTTAACAATTAAGGCCTAGGGCAAACGTCGAATCTAAGTCGCGTCGAATAAATTAAAAATAGGTCCGACAAAGAGTCGACTTAATTCCAGCGTGGTAACAAACGTCGAACCTGCGTCGATCCTACTTCACAAGTTGCACTTCATTGAAACAATGGGAATAAGCCCTTGTCCTCGTGCTATAAGCTCGATGTGCGGCTAGGTACTGCTACGTTTGCGCAGTCCATCACATTTGAATCAATTATTTTGTAATTTGCATGATTTATGAATTGAGTTCAGCGCGTTTTTAGAACGGCATTTGCTGAAACGCCTAACCACTGTCGTATTATCTGACTTGTTAAATCGAACCAGTTGATTTGAGTCGAACATATTTGCGGCAAACGTCACACCATTTATGCGCCTATTTCAAAATTAATAGATTCGACGAATTAAGTTCGACTAAGCTTCGACGTTTGCCCAGGCCTACCATTCTGCCTCGCTGTGCGATCCACGCGCGATGCAAATGTAGACAATTTTTTTTAACTTTCGTTACGCGAAGAATGAGTCATGGTATTATATAACGATAAAATGTTATTGTTACTCAGTGTCAGCACTAAACCTTGTTGATTCAGGTGATAGTCATTGAGGACGACTGCATCGTCACATTTAAACCAGTCGCACTTTTCACTCAAGCCATAGCAGAGCTGGTACAAAATGGCGACTATCCGTTTTTTATTTTACTCTATGCTGTCTGCAGAATGTGAAGGGTCTGTCACTCCATCCTGAACTGCATCAAATAGCCTTGGTACCCCAGAAGACACACAGACAAGCTTTAAATGAGTCATACATTGGCTCACTTGAAGCTACCATAAACTCAGACTTTATAAATATCAGGCTTTAAGATCCTTAAGTTCTCCTCATGTTAAAATTGAATGAAAAGGAAAAGTTAGAGCTAATTTTCTCTCATTTTCAATTTTTTAATCTTAGCCCAGATATGGGCTAGTCAAGGGAGCTAGGCCTTATTAGTTATATCTTAAATAATTAACACATGTGCAGTAGAAAATACCAAAAACAAAATTTATGAAAAGCAAAAATGAATGCAAGCATGGAAGTATCAGAAGCAGAAAATTCACTTCATTGTCTCAGAGAGAAAATGCAGTTTTAGATATGACTATTATCTTTACTATTTTAAGTATTTTCACTGTTGTGTGCATATTTGCAATTTTCTAGTACGTAGAAGTGTGGGGAGTAAAGGGAAGGATTTTTCATGGTTAGGGTTACCTTAATAAAACACATCTGTCATATGAAACATCTTGTACCACACTCCTGTATTGGCTCATCTAATTCTTTATTTTAGAAGTATAAGGGGTATCTTGGAGTCAAGAGCCTCCATATTACAAAATTCTGCCTACACCCCTGAATAAGTTAAGGCATCCATAGATTTAATAGATGTCATTTCTTGAGTTTGGGTCTTCAGTTTTATATCATCTAGTCAAAAAAGGAAACATACAATTTCATAGCCCTGGGTGGGATATCTTTGAAATTTTATCAGTCGCAGAATTAGGGCACTGCACCTGCTTTGGCCACTGGTAGTTAGGATGGGGTATCTCTGAAAAGTAATCACTGGCAGAATCACTGCACTAAGGTTGCACATCTCTGAAAAACATGGCGTTCCTGAACCATAACTGACGTGAAATCGTATTATTGCAAGGGGATTGTCGCAAGAACAGCAGTTATGACTATATAAACAGACTAGCATTTATAATTTTTTTTCACAGCGTTTTATTCAAATCGTAAGCGTCGGACTTTTGTACTCGGTCACAACATACATGAAGAGATTTTTTCCCAGTTATCCAGTGTTTAATAGAGGAGTTTTGCAGCTGTTACACAGAAACCCATCGACGTGTCCGCGCGCAAGCCAAAACACGAAACGATAATCACTCATGGATCACAAACCGCGCAAAATTGTGAATGATCTGCGACTTATTAGCCTTGAGACCAATCTCGCATATTACAAAGAAGACTTTGTCTTATCTGCACGCCACAAAGATAGAACAGATGACTAAGACGATGGTAATTTTTTTAAAGAGGCGCCATTTTTCTTTGCTGCATTCGCTGCGATCCAATACTACCACAAACTTGCGTCCAGCGGCTCGCGCATACTTGCAACGTTACCACTTGCTGTTGCCTTTGCCGAGGTTTCTATTGAACAAACAATGACGCAAGACAGTTTTAATATTTTGTATGCAAATTTTTGTCCTTACAAAGCAACAAACAGGTTTGTTCTGAATAGATGTTTGTGCAGGTTTGAATCTGTTTGGTTGATGCCCATCCCCTCAATGATAACGTCTTGAAGTTTGAGTTGATCCATCCGTGTTTTGGAATAATTGTACAGTAAACACCCGCATATAAGAACAAATGGATTGAGAACATCAGGCTGAAATTTGGTTCATAAAGCACCTTATAAGTAAGAACCAGTCAGCCTGATAAATAAAACATGTGCTTATATAATAAGGGAGAGGATGTCAGAATAAGAAAGCAATGTAACTGTATGGTTGGTGCTAGACAATTACAAAACTATAACAGATTGCTTGGCTGAAGAGTCAATGGTGGCCCCGGTTGAGTTAATAGTATGACTGTAAGAAATATTTTGAAAATGTTGAAATTGTTACATTTCTACTCGTAAACGTTAATGAGTTTACTACATGACAGATTTATATTTTATTTATTGATCTACTGATTTGTTTACTTACTTATTTAGTTATTGGTAATAAAAATTAAACTATGCTTACTAAACCTCTGGTAACATGTTAAGTGTAGCATTTCTGAAACAAAGTTTAAAAACTTATTAAGAACATCTTCAGGCTGATTTCTCACTAACCACGTGATAAATAAGAACTAGATCAGCCTGAACCTCGAAATCATGTGTTCTTATGTGCGGGTGTTTACTGTATCGGATGAATAATTTACAGTCTTATTATGTCCTGTTATAGGTCCCTGATCCAAAAAAGGAAGGTGTCAGTGAAGTGACATCATCAGAGCCTGAACATGAGATAATGATTGATACTACATCACCTCCTGACGAGATCACAAACCGCGCTGAAGAGTTGATAAAGTGTGTAAAAGGTGAAAAACGAGCAAAAGTTGTCACCGAAGAATCCGTTAGTAGTATTGATCTGTGGGATTTTGCTGGACAACAGCTGTACTATGCATCTCATCCTATATTTTTAACATCACGAGCAATATATATATTGGTGTGCAATCTCAGCAAATCATTGCATGACACTGCCCAACCCTGTGTGAGGCAAGGAAATCATAATTTCACGTTGGACAACCCAAATGGAGAAACAAATTTGGAGAATCTGTTATCTTGGTTATCCACAGTGCATAGCATCACACAGATGAGAAGACAAACTCGTGACGATGCAGAAGGAAAGCTGCCTCATCTGCGTCCCCCTGTGATCATTGTTGGCACCCATGCAGACAAACCGTTTGAAGACATTGCAACAATGAAGACAAAAATACAGAAGGCAATTGCTGGTAAGGACTATGAAGGACATGTAGTGCGGCCTATCTTCAGCATTGACAACTCTGCAAAATTAATTCAAAGAAGGTTGGAAAAGGTTTTCAGAAAAGATAAAAACATTGATGGCATCCAAGAGCTAAGAGACAAAATCATGGAAGTGTTACGGCAGGAGCCATACATGAAGGAAAGGATACCTGTCAGGTAAATAAAGTGAATAATAGAACACAGATGTCTTTAGGCGAGAATTTCCATGTTAATTAAGGGTTGAGGTTTGGCAGCATTAAAACTACAGTGGACATATGTACATACACTGTGGGCCTTTGTCCAGTCCATATAGCATTTTGCTTGCATATCCAAAGAGGTCTATGTTTTACCAGTAAATAGTTGGCTACATGCATATGGGGATACAAAATGCTCGTATAAGATACCTAAAGGCTGCTGGCACATTGTAAGTCAGTCACTTAGGTTGAAGGGCAGTCTAAAGACTTTGCCAGTACTAGGAAAAAGTAAACACGTGAATACTGAAACAAGCGAACGCAGAAATATTACATAAGTCACTCAAAAACGTCTTTTTTTAAGCTTCGTAATATGTGATGCAGGCCCTCTCTTTTAACATGTAATTTATTCCAATGCATTAGTTTACCTAAGAACAAAGGCAAATGAAATTTAAACCAAAGATAAATATGAACCACAGAGTCACCCTATATCACAACGTTGCTTTACCTTGAAGGAAATCGACAAAGGAAGGGTTTGATGGGAGGTGGCTTTCCAGAACATTTTTAAATAGAGTCTATTTAATAGAGTTGTTATTCTGAATAATAATTTGGGTAATAAGCAGCCATGGGCGCTGATCATTTATAATAATCATAACAATAATTTATTAGTCAGTTTGTAAGGTGCAAAATAATATTTAAATATGATCTTTCGGGGGTCGTTACTATGGCGGAGCCAAAAGCGTGATATAAAAAACTGGTAGAGACAACATTTTATTTCCAAACAAAAGGGCGAAAAGTCGCAAAAAAATAAAAATTGTCAAGTTTCTCCTCGCTGTTATGTGGGTGGCTTCTTCTTGTGCAAACCGTGTTGTCAGTGATTTTTAAACTCTTAACCTTTTTTCAAGATGTAATAGAAAAAAGGAATCACTTTTTGTTCTCCTTGAGGCCATACACTTTCAGGCTCACTTCTGCTTTGACCATTTGTACGGCATGTAATCTGTATTTTTATTTTATCTCTTTTGCCACCGTTTGTCTCTTTTTTCATATTTATCCCCGATTGTTTGCGTTGAATAATCGTTGAAAGGTTGGGAAATGCAGCCGCAGACTTTATTTAATCTTGCATTTGACTGTTAGTAATGATCTCCCTTGACACATGAACAAACAGTTCTCTGTTTTTTTCGGGGGGAGATTGGGGTGAAGTGGGGTTGCTATTTTTGGGATTCCTTAGCATTAATTATCATTTTTTTTTAGCGGTACCTTCGGGACTTATAAGTGGCCACATTTTGTGACGTTTCATTCGGGGTCCGTTACTTTCGGAATTTTACTTAAGGTGGCCACAATAAATTACGTGAGCCCTAATACCTAAATGGTTGCCACTTAAAACGTCAGGACTTGTAGAATTTATATTTGAACTTCTCCACAACGGCCACCTTGGGGACAGAAGATAGTGGCCGTTGTAGAGAGGTTTAAACAAGAGTCAATGTATGAATTGTCCGCCAAAAAAAGTGGCCATTGTAGAGAGGTGGCCGTTAGTGGAGGTTCGACTGTAGTTAGCTTCTGTGGTTATGTTATATCTACCTGTTTTAGATTGCGTGCAAACTTCGGCACATGAATCGCTTTAAGCCACAAAAACTGCCCGATGACACGAATACTTTCATTCATCTTTTTATAATCTAGGTGGCTGAACTTTGAGAAGGTCCTCAATGCTTTGCTGTCTAAGAAAGTTTACCATTTGAACTTGAGGGAACTTCAAACTTATGTAAGGGACAACTGCTTTATAAATGACGAGGAAGAGTTCACTACCATGGTGGATTTCTACCATGACCTGGGGATAATTATCAAGCATTGCAGCACAGTCATTCTGAGCGCAGAGTGGTTAATTGACCTATTCAAGCAACTGATAACCATTCCACCATTTGATGAAACGGTAAGCTCCGAAATACGTTCGTTAAGTGTTTTCAAACCATTGCAGCAGCTTTCTCTTCTAGCTCTTTTAATTTATTTATTTATTTATTTGACATACAACAGTAAAAATACAACAACAAAAAAATGTAAGATAAGTAGCAAAAGAGACGTGGCAAGGAGACCTAAGACAAACTATAAAAAGCCTCCTCGAATTACGGACTTTTTGATAACTTTGTTGTCAAATAAACTAAAAAAACTTTGGATCTTGAAAAAAGGAAATTTCTTAGTGTTTGTTCGACGTACCATAGGGTAGACGGTACGATTGACCTGCACCCATCCAAACCTTTTATTTCATTGGTCCCTATAACCTGCACTACCTATAGTTTTCAGGGATAGGGGCATTGTTTTTTCACCATCCCTATTGTTTTCCCAGCCAATCACAAACCTTGTTTGGAATAGGTGTAGGTCGGCCTAGACGGTACGCCTAGGAATTTCTAGTATTGTTGCAAGACTGGTATTGATATTGTTTAGGAAAATTTGGTATGTAACATGAATATAATTATTGGTATCGTCGGTAAACAAAATATAAAAGTATTGTTAAGACACAATAACAATATTTGTAACGAACGACGGCCATTTAATTCAATATATTGCATTCTGCTTGCAAAACAACTTCTTATTCAGTCCAGTGCTAAACCACGATTACCGCAGATGTTCGAGTTTATAAAAAAATATTGGCATAATATACTGCGTCAACTCTGTTTGAGAGGTCACGAAAAATAAAGACATCTTCTAGAGAACCTTTTGATCTCTCTGCATTTTATTACTTAGGAACCCAAGGTTTCCAAACTCTGGCAGGAAGTTAAAGAAAGTGGTGTCCTCAGCATGGAACTGCTTCATCATGTGTTTTCTAAGTTTCTTCTGAAGGGCGCCGCAAAGGATGACATTCTGGATCTGATGGAACAATTTGGTTTGATTGCTAAGTTTTCACCTTCTAAAACTGATGTAAAGTATTTTGTGCCATGCCAGCTCAAAATGCCACCTGATTCCATTTGTGCCATCGTACCGTCAAGATCAGACCCTTGTCCTCTTTATGTTTACTTTGTTACTGGTTCTGTCCCTCATGGCCTGTTCACACGGCTTGTTTCTCGACTGGTCAGGTGGTGTTCTGAGGCTGGTCCAACTCAGCCCCCTACCCTTTATCAAAATGGAGCATGGTTCGTCATTGGGAGGAAGATTGTCCTTGATTTAGTTCTTATTTGTAAGAAGCAGTTCATAAAGTTTTTCGTCAAGCAAAAAATCCAGCGTCAGAAGATTTCAGTGGAGGACACAAGTGTGGTAGCGGTGCAGGTGCGCGAGTTTGTGGAGGACACTCTGCAAACGTTGTCACATGATCTTCTCTATTTGCGTGGAGTGCAGTACGAGATTCGGGTGGCCTGCCCATACTGTCAGCTGGAAAAGTGCCTAGGCCATAATCAGATGGGTTGTACTCATGACGACTGTCTTCACCTCCTGGAGTTAAAACAAGGTGACCCACTGATTTGCAAAAAGAAACCTTCAGAGGAATTACTTACGGTTAGAGGACAGGAAAAATGGTTCTCACAGGTGCTAAGTGAGGTAGGTGGTAATAAAATTCAGTCTCTAGTAAATGATACTGTTAGGTTAGCGCTTCATTTTTATAAACTAAAAGAGAATCATACTATAGGGAAAGTTAGATACCCTCAAGTATTGTTATTAGATGTGTAGTCGTCTATCTATTCTTTTATGCTCCAACAATTAAAATCTCTTCATGCAAGTTATTACATCCCGGGATGATTCATAGTGTATACCTCTTATGTGGCCTAGCACATGAAGGAGAGGATATGACTAGAACAAATAAAGTAAAATTAAGCGAGTTTATAAGGTCAATTGGTACCATATAATGACTCAAATGCTGATACTTGAAGCTCTTAACATTTGGCTCAGACGAATAATAATTAACAATTATTCCACGAGGGCGCGTTGGATATGAGATGATAGATAGCCAACG